CTTTGCTTGACTGAAAAATACTCCTACTGCACTTTCCAAGTTGATGGTAACCGGGTGCTGTTCCCTCCCCCTGCCCCTCACGGGCATTCATGATGTCTTAACAGTGATGTTGTAAAATACCAGTGTTCATATGTGAAAATCCCTGTCTCCTACCAGCATTACCACCTCCCGAAGGAGCAGGGGAAGGGTGAGCGTGTGGTTTGGGTTTTTAAAGCAGCCCAAATGCGTTTTGGCTCCGCAGAGCTGCGCGCTCAGCCGCCGTTTCACGTCCGTGCTGCGGCCGGGCGGGTGCGTGCCGGGTGTGCGGCTGAGGGGCGGGCGGCACCTTCCTGGGGTGTCGCTTCCCGACAGCCCAGCGAGATTCCCCCGTGGGATGTGGGTTTGGCTCGCTCTTAGCTCCAAGTCCAGTTTGCCTCCCCCTGTAAACCCCCGAAGGATCCCTTCTGCTCCCCGAAGGCTGACGGCCTCGCTGCTTTCGTGCTCCTCTGCAGGGCCTGCCCAGTCAGGAATCCTCACGGACCGGGAAGTGGTGAGCCTGTTCCTCCACTTCACAGTGAACCCGAAGCCACGGGTGGAGTTCATCGACAGACCGCGCTGCTGCCTGCGGGGGAAGGAGTGCAGCATCAGCCGTTTCCAGCAGGTGGAGAGCCGCTGGGGGTACAGTGGGACTAGTGACAGGATAAGGTCAGCTTCTCTGCTAATTCTGCTGCCGATAGATTCGTGTTTACTGAGCTTTGGGCCTACTCGGGACCTAAACCCGCCAGGTTACCTGCTAGACCCCGACTTCCACAGCACAAGCCCTAGTGCAGACTCTGAAGGGGAAAGCGCTTTGCTGGGCAAAAGCGTCGCCCGATGCGTTCACCCGCCCGTGTGCCGGCCGCCGCTTGGCCTCTGCGGCGGCAAAGGTTTCCAGCACCCGGGGCCCTCCAGCACAGGCCTCTCGGGGGATTATTTCTCTCCTTTTCAAGTGGCTTCCTGCAGCTGCACGGGCACGTAGCGGTTGGAGTCCCCAGGCAGCTCATGGCTCCCTCCTGTGCCTGGGTGTGTCGACTCACCAGTGCTCCATCAGGTTGGTTCCCTGCTCTATTGTGAGTGTAAATGTGGCTTGTGGAAGCCCCTTAATCTTGCCTATTTGAGGGAGGGATTAGGATAAAATGCTTGCTGCGCCTGCTTTTCTGCTAATGCCTAGTTTGTTTAGACCTAAGCTTGTAGAGAAACAGCAAAGCCCAGTCATGCTGACGGAGACGCGGAGGTGTGGTGTGGCAAACGGTGGTTTGTGAGCCTTGTGGGGCCAAGTGACTAGAGCAAGACTGCGTAATGGGAAAGCCTTGGTTGTTTCCCAATTCGTCTTTGTCTTGGGTGGAAGAGGAATTTGCATTAATATCGATCTTGAAAATTTTTAAGCCTTTTCATTGGTGGTTCTCCTGTATATCGACAAAGCTGTCGGTGGGATCTCTTGGTCCATTCATCCCCTTGATGATCATAATCAGAAGAGCTGCTGGCTCCAAACGCTTGCTGCTCTGACATCTAACGTTCAGAGACCTTTTGGAGCTTGTGTTTGACTTAAGTCCAAGTGCTGGCAGCATCAGGGTCAGTCTCATCAGGGCTTGTGTGCAGCTTCAGCCCTGACTGTTTTAGGCTGGTTGCAGAGCAGTGGCTCCAGCCTCCCGCAGGAGCTTGTTCTTGAAGCACGTGGGGCCCAGAGAGTTGGTGGACGGGTGAAGAAATCCTGTGGGCAGCTTGGCAGGCACCGGGGCTTGCTGCTGCCTGCGAAGATGGAGCTGTAGCGGGGTGAATATCCTTCCCGTCGCTGCCTGAGCCGGCAGGGATTCCTACATTCAGGAGCTGTTGAGTCTGATTTTCTGCTCTTAGATAAACCTTGAGTGCAGCTGTATCCAGCGAGTGCTCAGCAGCACATTAACAATTCTCCTCCAGTGCTCAGGAGCGAAGTATCTCGTGACACTTTAAGTGCTCTTTGCTGTTACCTTGCTGGCAGGGCCGCTGCTGCCGCGCGGGTGGGCACGATTCCACGCTCTGCGGGCTGCCCTGCCTCTGCCTGGCTGGCGGTTTTGGGTGCTGGCGTTGTACCGCCGTCTCGAAACGCTTCCCGAGCCTGAAGTTCGATGGTGGGACTGGGCAGCTTTTGCATTTCGCGCCAGCAAACACAATTCTTGCCGGCCCGTTAGGACAGTCAGAGGTGGAAGCTTCCAAATCGTGGTTCCCGTGAAGGATTTCTGTTGTTAGTAAGAGTTGCCCTTAAAACTGTTTGATTGAATCATAGGTGTAAAATGGAAGTGAGTGAAGATGTTTTTGTATCATCCTCGTACTAAAACGATGGCAAGTTGGTCTGACTCTCCTGATCTCTTCCTGCAGGTTCTCGGTGAACAAAAGGATATTTGTGGTTGGGTTTGGATTATACGGATCCATACATGGGCCAACAGATTACCAAGTAAACATACAGGTAATTCTCTCTACCACGTTGAAAACACTTGCTGCTGTAGGACTAACTCACACGTGTCAGTGAATATGAGACAACCTCTTAGGTTAGAAGGGCCTGTGTGTTCTCTAGACAGGGTGGCTGGCAGACGTAGGGAGGGCCAGATGGGGCCCTGGGGATAAGAGGGATTATTGCTCTCGATTTTATGCAGCCTCCCGCTGCCTGCGTCACTGCGGCAGCTCCCCAAGTCCCCTCGCAGCCTCGGGAAACACGTCTCGGAGCTGCGACGCCGTCTGAGGACGAGCTGGGCGCGTTTTCCCGCGCCGGTGCTGCCGCCAGCGCCGGGCGCTGCAGCGGTGCTTGCGTTTTGCTCCCAGCTGTGCCAGCACCGTGGGGCAGCCCCGGTTCGACAGGGGAGGAGGAGGAGGAGGAAGCGGTTGCTGTGTCTGCGCTGGGCCCGCGCCGTGCCGGTGGGCGGCCTGGCAGCGTCCCGGTTGAGGTGGCGAATAGGACCGAGGGAGACCCGGTTGTCTGGAGTCCATCGCGATCTGGTTCGAAGACTGGGGCGGCTGACGGGAATCCAGGGTGCCTTGTTGGGATGAATCCGGCGTGCCTCGTTGGGGTGCGCATCCGTAACCCCGGTCTGGATCGCCTGAGCCGCCCCCAGGAAGGTTACCCCGGCCCAGCACGGCTGGTGGGACGAGCCCAGTGCCGGCACTTCTGGGACTGTCAGGGGCTCCTCCTGGTGCCCCTGAGCTCTTGGAGGAGAAAGGCAAGCGAAGACCGACGTGCGGAGCGCCGGCCCGCTGCCCTCTGCCTGGCCTCAGGGCGAGGGGGGATTGTCTGGGGCTGGCTGGGGGCCGGGGCCCCCCCGTGTT